AGCACCAGCAGGTCCAGCACCAGCAGGTCCAGCACCAGCCCCCCCAGTACCAGTCCAGTTTCAATCCACTCAGTACCAGTCCAGTACCACTCCACCCAGTACCAATCCAGTACCAATCCACTACTACCAGTCCACTATTATCAGCCCCCCCAGTTCCAGTCCACTCAGTACCAGTCCAGTACCAGTCCACTAGTACCAGTCCAGTACCAGTCCAGTACCAGTCCACCCAGTGCCAATCCACCAATACCAGTCCACTCAGTCCACCCAGTACCAGAATTTGTTGATTTTTTGTGCACTGACCAGTTTAACAGGTTGATCACACAACATTCAGGGTTCTGCTTTGAAGGGAAGATGAAGACGAAGGTAGCTGTGATGAAGATGAAGGCGATTGTGATGAAGATGAAGGCGGCTGTGATGAAGGTTGTGTGTCAGCTGACGGTGCTTCTGTCCTGCAGGTGGAGCAGGAGATGGAGGTCTACAGGAAGCAGCTGGAGGAGGAAGTGAGGCTGAGCAGCAGGTCACCAGAGAAGAAGGAAGTCGCCTCCTGCTGGGACGAGACGCTGACGAGGCTCATCGCTGTTCAGGAACTAGGAAACAGCTGCATCCACGCCATCGCCACGGTAACTAGCCTGTTGCCTCTGAAACGATGACATCAGACTGTGATGACATCAGACTGTGATGACATCAGAGGACGTCCGCTCTGGGTTTACGATGCTTGATGAAATAAAATGATTATTATTTCAGATGTCATGAGACTTAGTTGGAAAATATAAAAACATTATCATGAAAAGTACTTATTTAATATATTTTATGTTTTTTATTCTGATATAAAAATCAAGATTTGGACATAATTATAAAATGATCAGATAAAAACAACGAGATTAAATTGATTGTCCAGAAGAAACATGAGAAACGAGACTAAATGAGCCGATGACTTTCTGCTGAACCTGACTGACATGAAACCAGACTAATGAAGGACACTGACGTCTGGGTTAAATGCTGCCCTGAGATTCGCCTGAATCTGATGAGCCTGACTGACATGAAACCAGATCCAGTCAGACGTGGACCTTCATGTTTCAGGAGTCGGACTTGACGTTCAACCAGTCGCTGGTTTTGGTGATGAAACAGACGATGAAGCGACTCGATGATACCAAACGAGACGTGAAGCAGCTGAAGAACCAGAAACTGAAGCAGAACCAGGACCACAACCACAACCAGGACCAGAACCAGAACCAGAAGCAGAACCAAAAGCAGCTGGAGGATGAAAAGATCTGCAGAAAATACGAGGACAGACTGAGAAAGGTACAGACATGTTGTGTGTCTCTGGTGTGTGTCTCTGACGTTGTGTGTCTGATGTCGTGTGTCTGACGTTGTGTGTCTCTGACGTTGTGTGTGTCTGACGTTGTGTGTCTGATGTTGTGTGTCTCTGACGTTGTGTGTGTCTGATGTTGTGTGTCTGATGTTGTGTGTCTGACGTTGTGTGTCTCTGACGTTGTGTGTCTGACGTTGTGTGTCTGATGTTGTGT